CTTGCTTGCTCCGCGGCATGTGGGATCTTCCCAGACCAGGGATCGAAGCTGTGTCCCCTGCATTGGCAGGCGGATTCTTAACCACTGCACCAGCAGGGAAGTCCCAGGAGTTAATGAATTTTTCATCACTGGAATTGTCCAAGCAAAAGCAAGGAAACTGTTATTAAAAGTATTAGGTGATTCCGTGCATTAAGAGGATAGGCTTTTCTTCTACCCTAGAACTATTTAATGACTTGTGTTAACATGTATTTGTTCCCTGTGTTTACTTCTACTTTGAATAGCTTGAATTTCTAACAAGTCTCTCTGAAACCTAAATACTACACTTAATCTCCCTCTCCTGCATAAAACAGTACTACTTATATTTGCTATGCATGTAAAAAAGAGCTATTTTCAACACAAGTGTTTCAGAGTAAAATTAAACAGGAGGATCAGATTAAATCATCAGCTCCTTGATTCTCTACCCACTGCCCCCTGCTTCATAGTCAGGTTTCACAATATGGATGTTGATCAAGCCTAACCATACTTGAATATAAGTATATAGGCACATTTTAAATCTGCTTGCATTACCTACATTTCTTTTTTATTAAATACATAAATTCCTTAGAGATGGCATAGTACAGTAGAAAAAGAATGGGTCTTGTAATCTGCCCTAGTCAATACATGCGCAGTTACTTAATCGTGTTCCTCTTCATCTCACGGTAAGATTAAATTAGAGCATTTGCTTATAGTAGGTGTTCAGTAGGTGTCGGTCCATTTCTCCAAAGACAAACACTCTCCCTTTTAGTCACTGTACTAGGAGGTGCTCTCCATATTTGGGAATTATTAAAAGACTCTTTAACAGGACTAGGTGCCGTTAGAGAGTAATACCCAAGTTTTTGAAGAACATGGGAAGAACAAAATCAACTTGGAATAAAAATCATGAAATGTTAAAACTATCTTCTAGTCCAAAACTTTTGTATGGGGAGGAGGAAACAATCTAAGAACATCAGTTATAAACTATTTACTCAATGTTGAGACCAGAATTTCTCAGCTTCTTGCTTTCCAATTTCAAAGCTGATTTCCCTTTTACTACATATGTGTATATATACCTCCCATAGAAGTTCACTTCCATTATCATGATAGACAGGTGGCAAGAATTTAGGAAGTCCAGCCAGCACTTCCAGTACAGTATTATGAATTTACTAATATGAAGTGATTATCTGTGCTTTTTGCTTTTCTTTTTCAATTGCAAAGATAAAGGCTGTATGCAAACAAATTTGAACTTTGAAAAAGTATTTTTTAATAATCATTCTTTACTATTTCAAACAAAATGCAAAGTCTTTGGAAGCTCTCCTGCTTAATATGTAGCTAGGTAATATTTAAGATCCCTTCCTGCTGTAATATGATTATAAATATTTAGAAATAGTAACTAGTGTCCTCAATAATTATATGCTTAATATAATAGGTAAAGTTTACAGATAGGAAAAAAATAAATGTAATTAGAAAAGATAGTGGCCACACAGGAAATTTATTTCAAATGTAAAATTCTAATGCTAATAACAAATATTTAACATTCATGAAGCATGGCAAGAAAGTTAATATCAGCAAGCTGGAAACGATCTAGTGCAACTGTAAGCATTTTTTAAGTTAAGACCAAATAAAAAGGAAACTTAATTTTCTGTGACAATAACAAAAATCTAAAGTTATATAAGATAAGTGGAAAGGATAAATTTTTTCTATATATTTTTTGTTGTTGGATCACTCATGCTTTCATTCATATTTATTTTTACCTAGTTATTCTAGTTGCAAATGTCTAAAACCTATCCAGCATGTGAATTTTAATGAGAAAAGGTGATGATACAGTATTTTCTCCCCTATGTATTTTAGCTATCCAAGTGTACAGTAGCAGTTTGTTATTGAAGAACTTCACAATGTACCAATTTTTAAAACCATGTATAAACATTTTCCCAACATATTCCAAATTCCCTTCTATTCCTAGGATACCAAAGCCCTACTTATGATCATTCTTTTCAGAATCTTTCAATAAAAGTATATATACATATGAAATTGTATATTGCAACTTTAACATCAGTCACAGAACTTCTTGAAGAATACTGATCATGAGAACTATAAATAACAATGGTTTTAATGTCCTTGTTTAGATAGATTTTGTTTTTCTTTTAAAAAGAACTTCATCAAGGCTTGGCCATGATTCTCCTGAAAACATTGTTGTAGACAATGAAGTACATCAAATAAGTCAGTCTGGTTCTGAGTATTGCAGTTTTAATTTTAACTGGTGGACAACTATGCAAAGAAAGGACTCGCTTTTCTTTTTCTTTTTTTCCTGTGCCTCTGCCCTCCACGGGAAACAAGATGCTCAGTGACCTCAGAGCTTAGCATCTCTGACGTCCCAGGGGGTCTTACTACTATTCTAACTTAAGAGAGTCAATGGTGACCTGTTTTCAGAAACTGAGGAGCTGACATACCCAACCTTCCTTGGAAATGTGAAAAGGCAGCCCCACCTCAAATAAATGAAACTGATAACAAACCCAGTGTTCCATTAAGGATAAAACAGAAATTTGGAAAGTCTTTTGATATGTTTGACTTTCAATAAGAAACACATGAAATAATGAAAGGTTCAGAAGAGAAGCAAGCTAATTTAAAAATAGGAAATAAGAGAAGAAAAGTAAATGTTTAAAGAACAGAAGGCTAGATGGCAACAGTTTCTTCAAATACTTTTAGAATAATTATAAAGAAGGACAGTGACTAAATGCAGAACTTGAAAAAAATGGATTTAAAAGCCTTTAAGAATTTAAGTTAAATTAAGACAGAATTTTCTGATGTTTGTTCTCTAGATTTACTTGGAAGACCATCTTGCTTCAGTCTTGAGGCAAAGGGTTCATTCACAGAACTCTTTGAGCTCTGGAATCATAGAAAAATGAATCATATTCATTAAATTATTTTTAGACACCCCATCCCTGTGTTTTATGAACCCTATAGGAATTCATTCTGCCTCAAGGTCAAGTTGCTCAGCATATCAGGGCTATGAGATCTTATAAGATAATAGGATCTTATTTGCTCACCACTGCCTCAGATCTTAGATTGGCTTTAGCCTTGTTGAAAAGGAAGATAATTATAACCTGCCGTAGGAAAAAGATTCACACTGAAAATCTGTGATCTTAGGTTAAGCTGCTTCAACTATTAAACTCACTTTTCCTTTCAGGTAGTGTGTGTAACCACTAACAATTGTCTTTATGCCAACAGAAAGGGAAGAAAATAATATAATTCCTAGGTAAGGAAGGAAAGAAATCTAGTCTCTAAAAACTTGAAAGGTATTAAAGTACAAAGTTGTCTTCTCCAAACCCTGCACCTTCTTAATTTATTCAGAAAAACACTTAGGGTCTTCCTGTAATTAAACTTGCTTTACCCCTTGCTTGGAAATACTGTTACCTGCCACATCAAGGAGTACTTCAAAGTAGCAGATCGGGACTTCAGCTGAAAAGTACTACACCAGTAAAGTAACATTTGAAATCCAAGAAAGAGAAGTCAAGAGTTCCATGACTTGGTGTTTCCATTTTCATCAGGAACATAACTGAATTTAATTAAGAGTATATTCATTTGGGACTTGCAAGTCAAGAAAAATATATCTTTATATATTTTGCAAAGTGAACATTCTGACTCTTCACAATGTAGGTCGAAATAGTTCTCCAAGTTTGATATTTTGATAGAAGTGTGGTTTGGAGAAAGATCATCTTAACTTTTTTTTTAAAGGTCACGTAAAGTATAGAGGCTGAAGGTATGCGCGGGCGAGGTGGGGAGGTGGGTGTGGAGGGAAGAATTAAGAGAGCAGGACGCAGCTCTAGGAACAGTACCTGTCCCAAATTGAGTCTGCATGCCGCTATCGCCTTGCACAGCGCTCCTGGAAAGCTCATCTACAAATTCCGGGATGGGCCAAGGGTGGCAAGACTCCTAAGGAGGGAGACAGAACAGAGAAGATCCTGTTCTCGGGAGGCCGGGAGCGAGGGGACGGTCCTGATGGGGAAAGTGGTGTCTCCTTCCAGGGCTGCAAGCCTCTGCACCTCTTTCCTCCGGTCCCTACTCAGTCAGCCCCAGCCGTAGGGCAAATTGAGTTGGGGCCGACCCGGCAGCCGGACACCTAAGTTGCCACGAGTTCCACCCAGGACCCATGAAGCGACTTTCCCGGGTCTTGCCCGTCGCAGGTTCCTGCCCCCACGTGCGTTGCCTCCACTGCAAACTCGGTCTGACTCAGCCTGTTTGACTCCTCTCCTGCTGCCCTCCGGGCCGGGCTGGGGCCGGGGGAGCGCCGGCTGCGCCGGGGCGGTTGGCAGCGCCGGGACCGTGAGGCCCGACCGTTACAGCGCTCGCTGGCGGGGAGGGGGCGGTAGCGGGTCACGCCTCCCACCCCGCCGCGTGCGCTCCCGCCCCAAGCGTGGGAACTGGCGCCAGGCTTTCCCCGGGGGCGCCCCCCAGCGCACGCCGCTCGCCCAGGGGCTTCCAACCGAGTCTTGCTGGTTCCGGCGGCCCGTTTCCCCGGGAGCGCCCGCCGCCTGGCCGCTAGCTCACTCTCCCCGCTGGCTGACCAATCCCCGTTTGGAGTTCAAAATTCCCGCCGCTTCACTTGCGCTACACCCTCTCCCTCGTTTGTGTTTTATTTTGTGTTTTAAACTTTCATTCCGGTTAAATTATATTGACCCTAAGCTTTTATCTCGGAGGTCCCTCCAAAGGGATTTAACGAGAATCCCGAGCGCCAGCCGCCTATATCCTCGGGGCTCGCCCGCCCCTCGCCCACGGGAAACGCCCCGGGGCGGGGCGGGAGGACTCAGGTCTGCGGCGGGTGGGGCCGGGCGGAGCTGCCTCCCTCGCGGGGGAGCCCCCGGGCTCGCCTCAGCCCTGCGGCTCCTGCCCTCGGGGCAGCTGCCCGGCGAGTCCGTGGAGCAGCGGCAGGCGGGCGATGGAGACTGGGAGACACTGGGCGAGAGGAGGCGGGGTGGGGGAGGCGGGGAAAGCGCGGGGGCGGAGGCTGGCAGGGGGCGCTGGAGGCAGGAGCCGCCCGAGCGCTCCGAGCGCCCGAGGGTGCAGGAGGCTCTGAAACCGCGGCAGCGCCGCGAGCCTCCGGGGCCCGGGCGGCGGCTGGGCGGGGAGGTTGGGGGGGCGCCGCCGCCGCCGGGGGCGTCGCTGGCCTCGGCCCCTTTGTTCTCGCGCGCTCCCCCTGGCCGCCCACTCCCCTGCTGTCGCGCGGCGGCGGCTCCTCCCGCCCGAGGCAGTCGGGCTCTGCGCCGGGGGCGGGAGGGGGCGGGGGGAGCGTGCCTGCCGCCAGGAGTGGGGGGCGATGGCGAAGCTCCGGGTGGCTTACGAGTACACGGAAGCCGAGGACAAGAGCATCCGGCTCGGCTTGTTTCTCATCATCTCCGGCGTCGTGTCGCTCTTTATCTTCGGTTTCTGCTGGCTCAGTCCCGCGCTGCAGGATCTGCAAGCCACGGCGGCCAACTGCACGGTGCTGTCGGTGCAGCAGATCGGCGAGGTGTTTGAGTGCACCTTCACCTGTGGCGCCGATTGCAGGGGCACCTCGCAGTACCCCTGCGTCCAGGTCTACGTGAACAACTCCGAGTCCAACTCCAGGGCGCTACTGCACAGCGACGAGCACCAGCTCCTGACCAACCCCAAGGTAAGGACGCCCCGTGAGGGATGCCTCGCTCCTGCGGAGATCTTGAGGTGTGGGGGGAGCATCGCTGTTAGACCCTCCGCGGGGTGGCTCGGAGTATGCTCGCGTTACCAGGAGGCGACGAGGCTTCGCAGGCTATACTCAAACCAGGAGTAAATACATCGGGGAGCCCCGGGCTCCCCGGTCTTTCAGGAGGGTTTGTGCACGGCGACCCGTGCGTGGTGCCCGGAGGCTTTCTTTACACACCTGTCTTGCCTGGTCCCAGATTTTGAGGCCTTGGCCCAGCTTAGGTTAGGGCCCTAGAGGATTGACTTTGGAGAAATGCAAGGAGCCGAAAGTTAACTTTTCCTCCGGTTAAAGCCAGTGCGTAGCGGGGATACACCTACTCCGGCGCATGGTCAAGGTCCAAGCTCCCACTGGCCGCGTCCAGAGCTCGTCTTGGGAAGTGCAGGGAGTCTTTTAGCCCCTTGAAAGGTGTTAGAGGTTTCCTTGCCTTTTAACTCTTGACAGACGTTTTTAACTTGTGGTCCAAAGATGAACTTTCGTGGGTCGACAAACGACATGGAATCAAACGCGAAATTCTGCGTAGATCCATTTTGGGCGAGTACGGCGGACTCTGAATAGATTTCTCAGAAGGGTCTAGAGGCAGCCTAGTGACTCCTAGGCTCTGTGTGTCTAGAAACAATTGGGAGCCACCTGGGAAACGGTAAAACTTTCTGAAAATAGAAAACCGTCCGTGAAATGTACCGAATATTCCTTCCTTTGCAACTTTTTTAGTTCTCACGAGCAAAAACGAAAAAACCTGGTTAAGACTCTAGGGATGGAGAGCAGAGAGAGGGACGCTCAGAAAACTGTTCCCAGTGGAGAAAAAAACTTATAAAAAGCAGTGTCCTCAGTCTGTGAACTAATTGAGCTTTGTAGTACACCTGATTTTGCAAGAAGGATTTTCTTTCGTTTTTTCTTTCTTCTCTTGCCCTTTTTGGCTCTTCTTGTTGCTTAACTACCAAAGTAAAGATGTGTATCTTATTTAAAGTTACTGGCATTTTCCCTCTTTGTGAGAGCAGTGCTTGAAGATCAAGCAAGAAAGCTGTCCAGAAGGGAATGAGTCTTGTGTACACAGGAACAACTTTAAGTGTGACAGGATATAATTATATCAATCCAAAAAAAGAATTCTATCTCAATATTTTACAAGTATTTAAAATAAGCTTATCATTTCTCTACAGTAAACCTCTTGTTCTTGTCTCCTAAACAGTAAAATCTTGAATTGGGGAAATTTTAAAAAGGGAATTCCTTTAAAGAAAAATATATGACTTCTCTTAAAAATGATGCTCTTGCTGACAAAGGGAGAGGACCTTAAAAATGAACATAATATATAAGCAGTAAATATAGAAGTACAGAATTTAGATAGAGTATAATGTTCAAAGTCCTGAAGAAGCAATAATGTTTCAAAGACAAATGTTGTAAATTAATCTGCTCAACGCTCAGGAATTTCAAAACAAATTGCAGGGTTTTAGAAACATCACTTTTTTCAGGATTAAATCATTAATATAAAAGAAAGGTGTCAAAAAGAAATAGTGATTTAGAAATTATATGGTAGTTCATCATTTAAAAGGTGAAACATTGCTAATTAGTTTATAATTGGTGAAACATTGCTAATTAGTTTAAGATTGTGGTTCAGGCACTAATAAATTACATACACGTTTTTCAGTCAGTGGCTAATATCTAATCAAGACATTGAGAAGATAGAATTTACTATGTAAAGGCTGTTTCACAATTTCCAGGTAATTTTGAAGGATCTGACAAAAAAAATAAATTGGGATTTTAGGACATATATTTTTAAATCACTTGGAAGGAGTGGTAATGCTTTATATGTAATCCTAGGATTTGATATTTCTCTCTTTTTGTTGCAAATAATCAGTTTTCTTCCACTGCCAGTTTGGATCCTGGCAACAATCGTTTTGAAGAAGTATCTGAACAAAATAAGATTTTATAAAGTAAAGTATACAAGAAATGACAGAACTGCAGAAAGATATGTTAATGTTACAGAAAATGATGAACAACATCCCATTCAATTTAGTCAAGGTTTCCTCGGCCAAAGCAGTATATATCTCTTTATCCAAATTATGATTGCATTGTACCATTTATAGAACATAAGTATGTTCTTTTGCAGTCACTTTTTGACTTTTGAGCAATGAAGTGCTCAATTTGGAAATTCTCATAAGCAATTAGTGATGGAAAAATTCAGCTCAACCAAAATATTGTGCCAGAGTCCAGTATGTAAGCAGAATGTTTCCACAGTGCCTTTGCAATTAGGCAATACCCACTGCCTGTTGCTGTTGCATCTCGGCTACCCAGACCTTACCTTTTTATTGAAGGCCTGGGTGCCCCACCCATTCTCTTTGTAGAATGTCTAGATTCCCTACAGTGTCATGGATCCTAATCATCTTCAACTTTCTTTTCTTCATGGCCCACTACCACAAGAAGCCATTTGGGAAATCTCTTTTTAGAAAAAGAGAACAAGGACTTTCTCCCCTCCCTTGAGTGTGCTGCATTACATACAGTAAAAAGCAGGGAAGGGGAAAGAATATTGCACATATCTAACATCTTAAGCCATAGACTACTAAAGAAGACAGTGTGAATAAATTTGACCTTTGACTAATAATTTCTTTAAAATATCTTTAAGTCCTATTCAACTTATGTTTTGAATCATATCCTTGTTTCTAAAGCAATCACTGTATTCAGCCATGTAATATAGTACTCAAGTCAGTTATCCTAATTATCTAGTCAAGTCCTAATTATCCACAGGGCAAGGATCTGCTCTTTGAATTGACCGTAGCAAAATCTAAATTTGGGGTCAGCTTCCTCTGACTACTGTTCACATCACTGCCTTATCTCTTTGTGACTCGCAGTTGTGTGTGCTAAGAGGTTTGGTTCTCATCCATGGCCATACATTAGAATCACTGGGAGAACGTTAAAGAGAAATTCTGGGGGGGCATCCCTGGTGGCGCAGTGGTTGAGAGTCCGCCTGCCGATGCAGGGGACACGGGTTCGTGCCCCGGTCTGGGAAGATCCCACATGCCGCGGAGCGGCTGGGCCCGTGAGCCATGGCCGCTGAGCCTGCACGTCCGGAGCCTGTTGCTCTTCAACGGGAGAGGCCACAACAGTGAGAGGCCCGCGTACCGCAAAAATAAATAAATAAAAATAAATAAATAAATAAATTCTGGGGAGTTCCCTGGCAATCCAGTGGTTAGGACTCCATGCTTTCACTGCCGAGGGCCCGGTTCAATCCCTGGTCAGGGAACTAAGATTCCGCAAGCTGCGTGGCACGGCCAAAAAAACAAAAAAAAGATAAAAAGAAATTCTGATGCCTGGGTCCAGCCTTCACAGATTCAGACTTGGTCTTGGGTGGGTCCTGGGCATTGATGTTTTTTAAAAAGTTCTACAAGTAATTCTAGTCTGTAGACAGAGTAAAAATAAACACTGGCTTAGAAAATGTCCTCATCTGTTGTGCAAGAAAAGTAAAATAAGAACTGAAAGGGTTCATTGTGATTAATATTTGTGTGTTTGGGTTAAAAGATGTTACTGATGCTACTGAATATAGGGAGTTGGTTTGAAAGGGGGGACTCAAATTCTGAAGGAAAAGAAGAGAATCATTTAAAATTAGTTTAATGTAAATGAAACGAACTTACGCAGTTCCAAACATTTAAAATTGGTTTAATGTAAGTGAAATGAGCTTGTGCAGTTCCAAACATTTGCTTTTGCCTCGTTGATTACATTGGATTGCAAAGAAAAGATGAATTTTTAAAACCAGCCTCTTGTATATGGAACAAGAGAGAGCAGGTGATTAGAGGCAATATGTTTTATTTTTGAGTTTTTTTCTTTCTCTGATATGAAAAACCTAGAAAGAGAGGACAAACGTCTATTTCTAAGAAACCAGTACTACTATAAAAGTAAGAGAAATGCATTCAAGAGAATAAAAACTTAGGCAAGAACTAGAAGAGGCTTCAGGCTTTAAGTATATACCCTGAAATTGGATGTAATGAACTACAGGGAATTGTGGCTTAGTTACCTTCTTGGTATCCTACACATCCATACTAGTGTGCCTCTCCCCCCAGCACACACACACTTCCTGTGCAGATGGTGTGGTCCGCTGGGGTTAATTTATGAACTCCATCCTTGAATTAAATGTGCAATACTTTGTGCTCTAGGGAGGTCCATCACATCAAAACTAAGTAATAAAAGGCTCATCTGAATTGTGACAGCTTGTCTATAGTCTTTATTTCTCCATGAAAAAGTGGCTTACTATGGTTGTTTTTCCTCTGGTGATGATATGAAGTAATACTGGGGATGTACATAAAATTTAATTCCACAAATACTTCTTCAGCATCTATTATGATCAGAGAACTGGGCAAAAAACAGGAGGACATACAAAGATGAGTTCATTCATTTAACAAATATTTATTAAGTGCCACTTTGTGCTGTGTGTGTGTGTGTGTTTCCAGGTTCTAGGACTGGAATAGAGATCAGGCTGGAACCCAGGGCACAAAGATCAGAGCCCTGGGGGTAAGACAGGAGAGTAAATTGGGGCCAGTAATGCAAAGGTCCTTGACAGATAGGATGGGTTTGGTGGACATTGGGAAGCCATGGTAGGAAGAGTAATGCCCCCTACCAAGGATGTCCACACCCTAACCCCCAGAACCTGTGAATATCTTATGTTACACAGCAGAGGGGAATTAAGTTTGCAGATGAGTGAAGTTTGCTAATCAGCTGACCTTAAGATAGGGAGATATCCTGGTGGGCCAAGTATAATCACAAGGGTCCTTAAATGTGGAGGAGGAGGTCAGAGGGATGCAATTTGAAGAAGACTCAGCTGACTGTTGCCAGCTTTGAATACAGAAGGAGGACACAAGCCAAAGAATGCAGGCAGTCCCCTTTTCCAAGGGAGTGGGAAAAGGCAAGAAAATGGATTCTTTCTTAGAGCCTTCAGAAAGGAATATAGCCCA